ATTATCCAAAGTTAACTAAGTGCTTCCGTATGCTGCAATACGTCTTAACCATTTTGATAGCCTCATTACTGAGTTACGGAGTACAAAAATCTAGTAACAAACTCTAATATCTTTCACAAGACTATAAAGAGTTTTTTGAAAGCAGAAGGGATACCCTATTAACTTCCATGGAAAGTAATATTCCATACACACAACCCCATTTTGCATTTCAACAAATTATTTGCATTTAGGGCAATTGTTACCAGCATTGAAACTCAGAGAGTTCTGCAATACATTTGTATAAAAGGGAGCTTCCCATGGTTAACCACCAGGAAAAAAAAGTACAATCTTTTCAGAGTCATACCGTGTATGTTAAATGTGGGTTCTTTTCACTAATTAAAAAACACATCATTCAAATATCATTCCGAACTCTTAAAGATTAAACTAATTTGCTTTAGCAATGTTCACATGCCTTTTTTCTTATCTTCCAACAAAGATTTTACAGATGAACTTGGAAGACTGTTTGCAGAAGGAAAATATTTTAACCAAATATTCTAGGTTATGTATTTTCAAGTTCATACTATTCTTGGAGTCTCTTTCTTTTTAAATCTTGCATACTGAATAGGAAAAGAAGCCAAATGTCAGTGCAAGCCATTCATCACTTACATAGAAATATTTAACTTTAAGTTAAACAAGCTGACAATTCTCAATTCTTTGCTCAATATTCCTGCTTATTTTGATATGTCAGTTGACACATGGCCTCCTCCATTAGGATATCCATTGAATCAGGACTCATTATTAATAAAAGTTTCAGGTTTTTCCACTTAAGCATCATTTTGCATCAGATGCTTCTCAGAAGAATTCAATACCATTGGCCATGGTATTCTTCTGAACTGCCTGCAAGGGTTGTGGGTTGGCGGCATTGTTCTTTGATGGTCCTTCTCCTACCCCAGTGTGAAGCTGCAGTTGGTAGTAGTGGAGAACAGTGATCAAGCCCATGATTTTTCTAATGTAGGGTTCCATAGGGCTCAATTATCTTCCCCATATTATTTAGCATCTGTATGAAATAGCAGGGAGAGGTCATCCACTGGTTTTGGAGTGAGGTATCATTAACATTCTTCACCCAATTATATCTCACCATACCAGGCTGAACTGGAGATGCTGTGGAAGTGTTAAATGGGTGCTTGCAGGCTGTAAGGGACTAGACAGGGAGTAAAAAGCTCAGACTAAACTCCAGCAATACAAAGTTGCTGTTTTTCTGTAAATGTCTTCCAAAACTATGGTAGTTTTTTTAGGATCACACTTCCCCAAAAGGCACTGGTCCATGATTTGGATTCATGGATCCACAGCTCCTGTGGATGAAAGCCATGAACAGGGGGGTCTTTGCCCAACTTCAGTTGGTGTGCCAGTTATAGCCCTACCTGGATCAGGAGGTCTGGGCAAAGGTAACTCATTCCCTTATCACAATGCTGGTGGATACTGCAATGCCCTTTAAGTGGGGCTGTCTTTAAAGATGACTTGGAACTATAGCTGACACAAAATGTGGTGGCCAGACCGTTTGAAGTGTAACCCATATTTCGAGGTCACTGTACTGCTTGCTGGTGAGCCTCTGGACTTATGAGAGCAAGTTATCACATACTGTAGTTACAAGCAAATAGCCTGATATCTATTAGTATATTGTCCAAATAAAAGACACATAGAAACTGTCCCATCCTTTCTATTTTTTCTTTTTATTCTTTTATTTTCCTTAGTTTGTATTAGTTTTTATCTTTTCAATTGCAATCTTTAATAAAATCCATCCAACATATGTTTTGAACCAAATCAGCTGAAAGGACCATGGACAATTATCCTGAGACAGACTCATATGTCATAACTCTCGCATTACATCATTTCCCTTCACCAAGAACAAAAACAAAGCAGAAACAGCTGCCAGCATTAATAACTATTTCAGCATCCTTAATTCTAGGTAAAATCAGCAGACTTTGTTAAATACATGGTTCCAGCTACCTGGCTTCCATATTTTGTGATGGTACCAAAATAAAAGTAGAAAGATGCTTCTGTTATGGGACATAGTAGACATCAGGGCCTACAGTGAAACATAGAAATTTTCAGAAGAGTTTGTTTCTTGATAATATGAACTTCCATCCATATTATCTAATAAAAATTTTAAAATCTATAAAGCAGCTTTCCTCATCCTGGTGTTCCCAGATGTGTTCAGAATGCAAGTCCCAGGATTACTATGAGTTGTAATCTCAATGCATCTAGAGGGGTTCAGTTTGGGGAACTCAGTATTAGGTATAATAACTTATAGTACAGTATACATTTACTTTACTAGTGATGTTCTCTGCCCTAGTTGGTATACATATTTGTGTGTCCACCATATTATACTGTTTTTCTAAACTTCCTTATAAAAAGCAGCAGAGAAACCAAACCTTATCCAGACCTCTATTTCTGCCTTGTCCCTACCTTATTATTACTGAATCACCTTAAAAGGTTGTCTTAGAGTTTACAGGAGATAAAAGGTGAAGCATTCTGAAAGCTGTGGCATGATATTACATTCATTTTTGATTGAAGCAGCATAAAAACACTTGCAAATAAAAATATTAATGTAATGATGCTAAATCTTGTCCATTTGAAGCTTCTTGTCCTTGAATTGGTTTTTGAGTAGTTTGGAGTCAACATAAATACTCCCATAAAGGACACAAAGAGAGACCTGAAAAACTCTCAAGACACTTCAGGCAGGAATGGAATAAATTACAGGATTTATTGCTGGGACAAAATTATGCCAAATTTCAAAATCTTTAGAGCTTTCTTTGTAGTAAAAAAAAGTAACAAAAACATCCTGAGAATACTGAACATGGAAAGTAAATTCGTTACAGTTTTAAGTGTAAAGGTTTTCTGGAACATAGAGATCCCTTAGGACTGAATTAACTCAACATCAGAGTTGCTAATGAGCAAGTGTCCTGCAAGAATGCAATTATCTAGCATGCTTTTATGGAAAGAATATATTGTATTTTGTTAAACTCTATATTACAATAGAGTCTGTGAGCTTTTCCACACAGCCTTAAGTAGCCTGACTCCTGTACATAAACCAGCTGGAAATAAGCCAGCTTAACCCTTTCTGGACTCACCCCCTTCCTTTGCTTTGGCTACAGTGATGGGCTGGGGTTCTGTCCCAGCTGTGCTTAACCCCTGCTTACTTGATTCCTCTGATCCTTTATCCTTTCCACAGGCCCCAATAAAGGAAGCACCAATCATTTTCCTTTTGATTGGTGGGTCTTTAAGGATGTGGTTTCCTTTGAGAGATCAAATCAAATCAAATCTTTATTATGATCATAAAGCAGCATAACTTTGACAGACTGTTTGTATCAGCCTCCTCTATTGACTTCACCTTACACCTGATTTCTGCTTATTTGGTGAATCCATCAATGGACAGGGGAGGGGAGGGGAGGGGAGGGGAGGGGAGAGGAGGG